CCCGTCTCCTCCTCCCTTTCCCATGGTGACTTCCATGGCTTTGGTCCTTGGGGCCAATGAATTTGCCCAAGTGCAGCTTCCCAATAAACCTGCCTTTAATTAAAAAAAAATATATTGGTAAGCTGAGTGTAGTGGCAGAAAAGTTGTAATCAATTCCACCATTGAGGAAGTTGAAACCAGATGGAGACTGTCTCAAAACAATAGAATTTGGGCTCTCCAACGATAGCTTAGCAGTTAAGAGCTTACAGAGGATCTGAGCTCCGTTTTCTCCACTCAAGTACACACACCCTCACACACAACACGCGCTTTTATTCCCAACATTTAGGAGGCAGAGGCAGCAGGTGAGTTTGAGGCCAACCGGGTCTATAAGAGTGAGTTCCAGGACATACAGGAATACAAAGAAACCCTATCTTTAAACATGTAAATAGGTTGGAGGAATGGCTTAGTGGCTAAGAGCACTCACTGGCTGTTCTTCCAGTCAAAACTTCCCCATATGTTGAGAATAAACATGTTGAATTAAATCTAAAAGATTTGATGTTGGTGAACCACTGTCCTCATGTACTAAATTATGTTCAAGGAAAAGTAGGAAGTTGGACCGTCTAGTGAGCTTGTGCTGCTTTGCTGGTGGCTGGTTACTGTACTGCAGCCCCACAGTGAGGGCATAGCAAAAACTGGGGAGGGGACTCCACCTGGAAGTCAGACTTTGAAGGTTTGCTTAGTTGAAGAATAAAAATTTAATTTGTCAAAGGAATTCATGGGATTTTTCTTATAATCTTGTCTTTGCAGACTATAACAATATAGGAAAATTCTTAAACAGAATTCTGGGCATGGAGGTGCATCAGCAGAATGCATTATTTCAGTATTTTGCAGACACACTTACTGCAGTTGTTCAGAATGCCAAGAAGAATGGAAGATACGACATGGGGATCCTAGGTGAGTGAGGAGACTTACTGTGCCCTGTGCGCCTGGTCTAGAGCATTTCTCCATTTTACACTCTTCTGTTTCTGTCTTAAGATCTGGGTTCTGGAGATGAAAAGGTGAGGAAGAGTGATGTGAAGAAGTTTCTAACTCCAGGATATTCAACCTCTGGCCATGTAGAGTTATATACAGTAAGTAAGTCTACATATATGTACATGTTCCATACTAGTGTTCACATACATGAGCTCCATTTAAGTCTCTGCATGTCTTTCACAGATTAGTGTGGAAAGGGGAATGTCCTGGGAGGAAGCAACCAAGATTTGGGCAGAGCTGACTGGACCAGAGGATGGCTTTTACTTATCATTGCAAGTACGAATTGAGTTGTCTTCAGAGTCCTACCAAGAATGCTATTTTTTTGTTTCTTACTAATTTTTATGGCTTCAGATTTTTTTCTCTCCTCTCTTCCTCTCCCCTCCCCTCCCCCTTCCCTTCCTTTCCCCTTCTTTTCAAGATAGATCTTACAACATAGCCTTGGCTGTCCTGGAAAACTCTTGGCAATTAGACTAGCCTTGAATTCACAGTGGTCACTATGTCTGACTCTTCAGCACACCACCGTGCCGGGCTCACCTTAGCCATTAAAATTTTAATTATTCATCTATTATGTATATAGGTCTGCATGCCACATCAGGCTTAATGTTGTTATATGTTTACAGAATGTTTTGTTCTCATGTTTGTCTGTATATAGAGTGTGGGCCTAGATACAGAAAGGCCATCAAATCCCCCTTGAACTGGAGCAGTGTAATTCTGTGTTGTGGAAGCATGTAGCCTTTACAGAGTATATTCTTCTTTTTAGTCTTTGGTTGTAGTCCTGTGGATCAGTGAATGTAATCTCTTCTCATCAGTTACACAGTGGTTCCTGCCTGCCTTTGGTTTGCTTTGTCTGCCTAGTGTTCATTTTGGAGTAGAACGGGCCTTAGGAAGGCCTGTGTAAACATGGTTGCTGTTGAGTTTGTGCCCTTGTACTTCAGAGATGTTGTTACTACAGTGACACCAATAGTGTGGTATACTTTCTTTTTCTTTTTTTTTTTTTTAAAGATACATTTATTTATATTATGTATAACACTGTAGCTATCTTCAGACACACCAGAAGAGGGCATTTGATTCCATTACAGATGGCTGTGAGCCACCATGTGGTTGCTGGGATTTGAACTCAGGACCTCTGGAAGAGCAGTCAGTGCTCTTAACCACTGAGCCATCTCTCCAGCCCCGTGGTATACTTTCTGAGTACATTAAATGTGTCCCTCAAATGGTAGAGATGGAACCTGTAGCCATCAGCTTAGCTGAGGCTCTGCCTGTGTATCAAGGCTGGCTTTATACGTACATCAGACTCAAGAGTGCCAAGTTACAGGCTCGGACTGCCCACCATACTGGGCCAGCCTTTTCCAACAGTTAGCTTTTTGTAATATTGTAGTTATCTCATAATTTGATGGTGTTCTAATTTTCTTTTATTGTTTTATAGTAGGAGTATTTGCTTTTGTCTGTTATAGAAATTGAGTATTGGTGGCACACACCTTTGATCCCAGCACTTCAGAGGCAGAAGCAGGTAGATTTCTGAGTTCAAGAACAGTTAGGGGCTACAGAGAAACCTTGACTCAAAAGGTTGTTTTTGTTTGTTTTTGTTTTTGTTTTCCTTTAACTTTTGAGTCTTTGCTGTGACTTCATATACACAGAACAAAAGAAGTGTTCAATCAACACTTAGGCTTATTCTGACAGCTTCTAAGGTCTCTGTGGAGAGAAGGGAGTTACAAAGTCACACCTTGCCAGAAGCTGTTGGCATTTGATGGCTGCAGGAAAGAGGATCTACTGATATGTTGTGTACACGCCAGTAGATGATCCCACGCTCCTACACGTTTGCTTAGCACTGATTGGACACTGGGTATAAAACAACCATGAGTATAGAACAAGTTACGAAGGGGAATGTTGTAAGTTAGCTCTGGGATGTCGGGGAAGATGGGGTGACCATAATCAAAAATTCATCCATACATATGTGAGACTCTCAGTAAGAGCCAGGCCAATGGCAGTGGTCAATCCTGAAATCAGGATACGTACAAGTATCATGTTATGGACTAAGCAGGTTGTGTTTATACTTAAGAATGTATGTGAAAGCCGGGCGGTGGTGGCACACGCCTTTAAGCCCAGCACTTGGGAGGCAGAGGCAGGCGGATTTCTGAGTTCGAGGCCAGCCTGGTCTACAGAGTGAGTTCCAGGACAGCCAGAGAAACCCTGTCTCGAAAAAAAAAAAAAAAAGAAAGAAAGAAAAGGAAAGAAAGAAAGAATGTATATGAGAGGCTCTCTTGTTCTCTTGCCTCTAGCTTCTCTGTCCCCTTCCCCTTCCCTTCCCCCTCTCCACATGGTCATAGCCGGCCTCTACTTCTCTTCTTCCTCTCTTCTTCCATCTTTTCCTCTACTTCTCCCCCCACTTCACCCTATCTCCTGAATAAACCACCCCACTTTGGAAGGGGGGGAATGTATGTGAGAGAATGATTTACAAAATAGAGGCCATGAATTTGAGAGAAGTTGGGAGGATATGGAAAGAGACAAAGGGGAGAAAGGATATTTTTAATTTAAAAATGTATACTAGCCGGGCGGTGGTGGCGCACACCTTTAATCCCAGCACTTGGGAGGCAGAGGTGGGCAGACTTCTGAGTTTGAGGCCAGCCAGGGCTACACAGAGAAACCCTGTCTTGAAAAACAAAAACAAACAAACAAAAATGTATACTAGATGGTGGCAGCTGACACCTTTAATTCCGGTACTTGGGAGGCAAAGGCAGGTAATCTCTGAATTCAAGAAATCTTGTCTCAAAAAAAATGGAAAAAAGGAAGGAAGAGGAAAAATTCTCAATAAATAAATAAAATGATATACAAGAAAACTTGTGTGGGTACAAGCATAGGAGCTCACATTGGAGGTCGAGGTAGGAATACTCTTAGGTTATGGCTAGCATGGACTACAGTGAGTTCCCAATTTGGTGGGAGATCTCAAAAAAAAAAAAAAAAAAGCAAACACTGTTGTGACCCTTAGTATAGTCAGAGTAACAAAGTAGCCTCCCCTCAGCTTAAAGCCTGAAGTATGGCTATATCCTTACATAACTGTCTGGTGTATCTTTTGTGCTGAATTTGCTGCTGTGATGATATGATAGACGATTTTTGACTATGTAGGATCAAATTCTTATATGTTTAATGTTGTTCTTTTACTAGATAAGAAACAACAAAAAAACGGCAATCTTAGTTAAAGAAGTAAACCCTAAGAAGAAACTATTTTTAATTTATCGACCAAACACTGGAAAGCAACTCAAATTAGAAATTTATGCTGATCTGAAAAAGAAATATAAGAAGGTATTTTCTCACTTATGTATTGTACTATGTCAATGCTTGCTTCATGATAGGAAGCCATATCTTCAAAGTTTCTGGGTTCAAGGATGATTACTCTTGTATAATAGCACGTTCTTTGTTGTTTGGTTGTTTTTTGTTTTTTTTTTTTTTTATAAACTGCTATTGCAGTTTTAAGGTTACTGCCCATTGAGACAAGATAAGCATGTGATCTTCAATGCCCAAAACTTGCCACAGTTTAGTAAGGGACAGTCCTTCCAACCAGCTTTAGATCTGTCATGAGCATGCTGCACGTTTTAAATCCTATAAATTTCCAGATAATGGTAAGTGCTTTTCCCAGCATACTTCTGCACCTTCTGGAAAGTATTGTCTTGACTTTCTGAGCACTCTGATTTGGAAGTAACTGTTTAAATAGCTCTCTGCAAAGCTCATCCCACAAGGGGCTTTGGCTACCATTCTTGGTGATATTTCCATCCTGCTACACATAGGGCTGGGCTTCCTGATGAAGATTATGATGTTGTTGTTGTTGTTGTTGACTGCCTTTGATGTTAGTGACTAGATCAGCTATCCAGCTGTTGCAGTATGGTTTTCCTTTGTCTTTGCAGGTAGTCTCTGATGATGCCCTGGTACACTGGCTGGATCAGTATAACTCCTCTGCAGACACCTGTACTCACGCATACTGGTTAGTGCTTCTTGTCACCTCACTTAGCTTCTTTAAGTATAATTAAGATTTTTTTCCTATGTGGGGGGGGGTTGAAGATGCTGAGTCTCCTTGTGATCCTATTGTTTCTGTCTCCCAAGTTCAAGAATGGTTGACCCGAGTCACAGTGCTTGGCTAAACACATTTTCATTCTTTATGAATATGTGGTTGTGAGTAAATAAACAAGTTGTCTATTGGTAGGCAGAGTTTACTTCATCAGAATTGTATGTAGAGACTTGCCATGGTGATCAGCGCATATAATCCCACACTTTGGACATTTTAGGTCATCCTAATATACATAGGGAAGGAATGGATTCCAGCCTAGGCTACATTGAAACCTTGACTTACGGCCTTAATTGCTATCCCTCTGGTAAAACTTGGATCTCACTGCTTTTCTCTTTTTCATTCTCCTCATTTCGTGTGTGTGTGTGTGTGTGTGTGTTGGAGTCTTTTAGCCTATGCTAACCATGAAACCTTGTGTGAAGTTTAGGCCTTGAATTTGGCACACTCTTCCTACCTTATTCTCCAGAGTACTGAGTTTGTTTGTGCTTGCATCTGTATCCCTTTTGCTTTCTCTTTGGCTTTGAAAAACAAAACAAAAAACCCTTACTGTTTGGGCCTGGTAGCTCATATCTACTGCCTCATCACTTGGGAAAATTCAGACCTGAGGCCAGAGTGTACAGGACCAGGCCTCAAAAACAAATGAAAAAGAAAGGAGCTAGAGAGGTGAGCATGGTGACACACACCTTTAATCTCAGCTGAGTTCCAGAACATCCTGGCCTGCAGAGTGAGTTCCAGTACAGCTGGGGAAAACCCTGTCTCAAAACATAACTAAAGATGGGGTAGGAGCTGAAGAGATGGGTCTGTGGTTAGAAGTGTCTTCTGCTCCTTTAGGAAACCCAGGTTCAATTCTTAGCATCCATATTAAGTGACTCAGCTACCTGTAACTTAGACTAGCTCTAGTGGACCCCCATGCCATCTACTGACATGAGTCACTGACATAATTCAGGCATAAATTTTTTTTCTTTTGGTTTTTTGAGACAGGGTTTCTCTGTGTAGCCCTGGCTGTCCTGGAACTCACTCTGTAGACCAGGCTGGCCTCGAACTCTCGAACTCAGAAATCCACCTGCTTCTGCCTCCCAAGTGCTGGGATTAAAGGCTTACGCCACCACTGTCCGGCTCAGGCATAACATTCATATACATAAAAGTAAATAAAATCTCATAAGGTCTGTGTATATGCATGAGCACACTTTGATGATTCTGTTTTGAGGTACACATGGGGAACTCAGAGGCTCTGTTAGGGTCCACCTTATGTAGATTCCAGGAAATCAAGCTGTCATTGGGCAGCTATTTCATATTCTGGAAGAGCCACCTACACACCTGGCTTGTTTTTCTTATATTAAATTTATGTTGCTTTGGTGGTGACTGAGATATGTGTCAATGAATTGGCAAACGTTTGATCAGTACTATGACTTTTTGTTTCTCAGTTGACATTTCTCTGTGGCTTGTCTGCTCCAGTTATCCAGCATTCCCCAGTCATAGTTGAAGCTGGCCATAGTGGGTTCAGTGACAGAGCATCATCTGGTGGGTGATTCTCACAGCAAGCACTACCACAGTGAAGAAACTGTGTAGAACGTGTCAAAAGTGTATAGATAGTAACCCCAGTAATGCAGTGTACAAGTAGACTGTCTCCACGAACAGTTGAACTTGCAGAAATAATGTGATACCTTACAGATTTGGAAAGGATAACCCAGGAAGCCCAAAGGATTTTCTAGGAAAAAGTCAAATAACAATTTTCTTCTTGCCAGGCAGTGGTGGTGTACGCCTTTAATCCCAGCACTTGGGAGGCAGAGGCAGGTGGATTTCTGAGTTTGAGAGTTCGAGGCTAGCCTGGTCTACAGAGTGAGTTCCAGGACAGCCAGGGCTACAAAGAGAAACCCTGTCTCAAAGAAAACAAAACAAACCAAAACAATTTTCTTCTTGATATATGGCTAGGCTTTACAGATTATTCATGTATGTAGCATGTTTCTATACATATTTTTTCTCTTCAATGTTTTCTAGGCGTGGCAATTGCAAAAAAGCAAGCTTAGGATTGGTATGTGAGATTGGTCTCCGCTGCCGCACATACTATGTACTCTGTGGCTCAGTACTGAGCGTCTGGACAAAAGTGGAGGGTGTTCTGGCCTCTGTCAGTGGCACAAACGTGAAAATGCAGATAGTGCGGCTAAGGACCGAAGATGGGCAGCGGATTGTAGGTAAGCTTCGCTTTTGTTTTGGTGGTCGGGAAAGAATCACATCCTACCCAATAGTATTTTTCACTTCTGACATCAGAGATTTGTTGTTTCACATGTGTTCTGGTAGTGAGCACTGAACGTGCTACTTATTTTACACGATTCAGAGCAGTCAAGCTTGGTTTTTGGCTTCAAAGTTATTTATCCGAGTTATCTGGCTGCCTCTCTTCAAGGGATGGGATTACAAGCCAGTAGCCCATCATGGTAGCCAGTTGTACTTGACCCTTGTAGTAGACATTGTAATTTGACAGTAATTACCCTATGAATGTCTCTGGGGCTGCTCTCAGCTTTTTGTGCCTATTACACACTGCCCCTCTCTATTCTTGAGACAACCTATTTCCTTTCCCAGGCTGAGCAGTTTCAGGCTTTGAATCCTTTAGAAGTTAGGACAGCAGGCTAGCTCAGAGCAGTGTTTGGTCAGCTCCAGACAGTTTACAGCTCTAGATGTAGCTAGTTGCTACACTGTTCGTTGCTGATAACCTGTAGTAAGGAGACTCATAGGCCTCCTTGCCAAATAGTGAACTTTATTTGAACTCAGGTTGTGGTTGTAAAAGTTTCATATAAATGAGTTTCTAGCTGCTGGCTTTAAAAAAAGAAAAAGGACACTTAGATGCTACATCGAGTTCAGATCCTCCACAGGTCAGAACTGAAGTTCCTATAGCTGGGAGCTGGACCTCTAATTGCCCTCACAGTCTGTGTGTCCGCTCTACCATTCCTGCTGACTAAGATGGTCATGTTCACCCTGTCTTAAGAGTCATTTTGAGCCAGGCGGTGGTGGCGCACGCCTTTAATCCCAGCACTCGAGAGGCAGAGGCAGGCGGATTTCTGAGTTCGAGGCCAGCCTGGTCTACAGAGTGAGTTCCAGGACAGCCCGGGCTATACAGAGAAACCCTGTCTCGAAAAACCAAAAAAAAAAAAAAAAAAAAAAAAAGAAAAAAATGCAAATAAAGAGTCATTTTGAGTGGCAGAAGGGGTGATACCTGTGAGGTTTATGAAGCCGATGCGGTTAGATGGCAACGTGCTGTGCTGCACACTTGAGCTCCTTCATCAGGAGATGCTGCTGTTACACTGGATGCATTGTCTGTGTGTACATGTGCACATGCATGCCTAGGCCTCTGGGAGCCTCCTATGAACAGCTTGAGTCCGGTGCTGACTTCCTGTCTGGTTTCTGGGAAATGTGGTTTACAGTTCTCTGTGTGAAGTATAATGTACAATGGTTTCTACTGGACAGCTCTACTTCATAGATTTTTTTTTGCTAATTACAGGTTTGATCATTCCAGCAAATTGTGTGTCTCCTCTTGTAAATCTCCTGTCAACTTCAGACCAGTCTCAGCAGCTCGCAGTCCAACAAAAACAGCTGTGGCAACAGCATCACCCGCAGAGCATCACCAACTTGAGCAACATGTAGAGAACAGCGGCATGCACGCGGGCTTGAGTGCTGGGAGAGCATACCACTTGCATAAAAATCAGGGACAGTTTCCAAAGAATTCTTTTTTTTTTTTTTTTTTAACTTCAGTTGTGCTCTCTAGTTAACTTGGGGGAGGGGGGTTAAGGACAAACCTGGAAATAGGCAGCAAAGTTGACAGCAAACAGAGCAGAGGGGACATGTGTCTTTCCTCCTGCTTCCTTGGAGCTGCCTGTGCGCTTTTACTTTGGGTGAGCAAAGCGGGGTTGTGTGTGTGTGTGTGTGTGTGTGTGTGTGTGTGCGCGTGTGAGCGCGCGCGTGTATATGTGTCAGTCTGTCTGTGAGTTTGTTAAATGCTACAAGGCCACAGTTGGTTGAAAAGGCTTGGAACTTCCCAAACTGGCTTTACTTTTCCTTTCTACAGTGCTCAGGGTTAACACAGTACATCCTTGTCATTACTGTGGGAGTTCCCCGAATGCATGTGTTTCAAGTCTCTAAATACTGAATCTATATATTGGTTTCTTTTCCAAGGTAAACAATGTTTCCTACAGCATGACGTGAGGGTGCGTGCCATGCATTCAGGTTCCTTTGTAGCTTTTGTTGATGGTGCATGTCTTTGAAAGCATGTGTAATCAAGATTATCACAAAAGTCACATAATGGAGAGAAACATTGGAGATGTACAGCATTGGGTACTGCATTTCTAGTGTTGACACCTGGGTGTTACTTCTAACCCTCAGCCCTGCCCGCTCCTCCCGTCCCAAGTTTCTTGTTAAAGTAGTAAGTACATACTTATTTTGTGATAAAACTCCTTAAAAGTTCATTTTAATATGTTAATAGTATTCCTAATTTGTGCTGCAAACATGGCTATGAGCCTTATCATAAGTTACATTTTCCTTAACTTAAGCGTAGTTTTAGGAAGAAGTATGACCGGCTTCTGTCTTGCACACAGTCTTTTTTACTTCATTATCTGAATCTGCTTTGTCATTTAAACCGGAAACAGTACTTGAGTTGTAAACTAGACAGTAAGAAAGAAAACACTTGGCTTCTGCTGTATGTTGTTGTGTTGTTACCCAGTAACTTGACTGTTGTTTAATGTGCTGTAAGACATTGTAGAGGTTATCTCCAGCTGTTTAAAATGGTAATGTACAAATGTGAATAGACACTTATCTATAACATGGGTAAGTTTTGTTTCGCCTATAATAGATGTTTATAAAAAATTCAGTGAGGGGACAATTGGTCTTTTTTTTCCCCAACCTCCCCTTGCCCCATTTTTTCTACCTTTTTTTCTCTTTCTTTCTTCCTTTTTTTTTTTTTTTGCTTGCACAGGTTGCACTATTGAAAAATTGAGATTGTATAAATCTGGTTTAAAACTACGAGATAACAAAATCTTGTAGATGTTGAATAAAAAAAGTTATTATACTAACGAAGTGGACTCTTGTTTAGGCCCTCACTGGGGACTCCAGGCATAGGATAAGAGGGCTCTGTAGAACTTGGCGTTGCCTTAGCCTTCCAGGTAGCCTTAGAGTCTGACTTAGCCCATTCCTGAAGTCTGAGTTGATCTTAGGGATGGGGTAAATGATGGTACTTTTGAATGTTTTTCAAGTTGAATTGTTTTCTTTGTAGCTTTTTAATCTCAGAGTTGGGTGAGGTGTATTTAGTGACAGTCCTGATGGAGCACTTGGGGCTCTCGTTCTCTCCAGGTTCTAGGATTAAGTTTACCGTAACATTGCGTTGGATTTATTTATTCTTAGTGCCTCAAAGAACAAATGGTGAGTGGTTTCTGTTCTTGGGCACATTTTGCCCAGTGGATGCAACTTTTATCCTCATTCCGAGTATCTCAGGCAGTGATCTCATGAACATCGAGCAGTATCCCTTTGTGACCTAGATCTAGGTGGCCACTGAGAGTAGACTTGACCTTCTTTACATGACCTCTGAGCGCTTGTAGTGGCGGACCATTCAGCTCCTGTGGCATGTTAAAGTAGAAGCCTGAGAAAGAGCTGTGTAACTTAACTTACTTTCTCCAGGAGACCAAGTCACAGAGGACGAGAAACAGTCTGTCCTCAGGTGCCAGCCCCCTTGATTTCTGTGTGGATGTCTGTTTATGCAGGTCCTGGTTTATCTGGTGCTTTCAAAGCAGCACCTGCAGGATTTCTCTAGTCTGTGCTTAGTGAACACCTCACTCATGTTAATGATGCTGTGACACTTGCTCCTGGAGCAGACGAGTATCTGTGTGTCCCATTCATCAAAGAACGTTTCTTTGCATTTTTGTTGTTTAGTAAGGAAAAGACCACAGATACTAAGCATCTGAAGGCCCCTTCAAAGCAGACTTCAAAAGGCAAGTAGTGTGGCAGACCAGACAGAAGCTGGTTAGCCTTCACTCACTGTGGGGTGTGTGTGTGTGTGTGTGTGTGTCACCTGGGATTGGTGCCCAACCTCTGAAGGGGAGGTCTTAGAAAAGTCACAAGGCAGTCTTTGGCATTCAAGAGTTTCTTGTGTTCAAGTCCAAGTCTTTTCAGCCACTGTCATGTAAAGTAGGTTCAATCTCCTGTGGAGTCTGAATGCCACATGCAGACCCAGGGCCTCACTTAACTCTCTGTCCAGCATAAGGCCACTAGCCTCTGAGATGCCTTTTCTCCCACTTGAGCAATGCAGCGCTGAGCAGCAGACCCGAGTGTTGGTCCCATCAGTGTTTTCAGAGTTTACAATAGTTTGTGCTGAAGATCACTCGTAGGTCCCATGCTGCTCAGGTATGCTTGTTGGGGAGGCTATGTTCCTCCCCTAGCAACCTCTGTGCCGCAGACTTGCCCTCTCTTGTTCCAGTCAGATAGTTTGCGGTGCAGTTGGAAAAGCAGTGAAAGTATTTCTGTAAAGGCAACTTGGTGAGAAAGCTAGGCAGGCTGAGCAGTTTTCTCTCTTTACTACTAAATTGCAGATCTGCTTTCAGTGTCTTCTTTTTTTCCTGTGTGTATAGAGACTAGCAAGAACTTGTATCCAAAGCACTATAGACGCTGTAGGTGTGTACATAATGCGTATTTATTCGTACTCAGCACTTAAGAAATCTTTTGAGTTTCAACAATAAATCTTGTAATTTGCTCTGTGTAGAGAGAAGTTTTAAGCTACCACAATCCAGAGGAGTTAAGCATTTTAGAGTCACAGTTTTGACTGTAGCTTTTTTTATTTGCTGGTTTCTGTGCTACGTCATTAGAACAACTTCTGAGAAAGCAGAGCGGGAGTAGGAGCCACCATTTACATTTTTTAACAGGAGGGAGCCTCATCCTGTCCTCTTCCCCTATTAACATGAGGGCCACTGTGACTAGCTTTTGAAAGCAGGTGGAGAGGTTCTTGTCCTGTGAGACCTTACCCAGGGATCCTGGTCTTAAAGAAGGAACCTTGTGGGCTCTTGCACATCCTAGGAATGGAGTTTCAGAAAAGCTGCCATTAAGCCACACACTGAATGTTTAGTTAGTTGGGACATCATCCCTATGGCAAAAGAAACTGCTGTGAAGGTTTTGTTTGTTAAGAGTCTGTCCTGTGGGTATGGACTCTGGTGAACAGCACATATACAGCACAGGGATTTTGGCCCCCAAGTGCTGAAATGATCCAAGCATTCCATGTCATAGCTGCAGCTGAGTAGACAGAAATTATTTGCAAGAAAATCCCTCACAAGGCTAGCTGTCTAAATCCAATGAGTCCTGTAAAGAAACGAAACAAAGAGATACAAGCAGGTGGCAGTTTTTTCTGAGTGCCCGTCCTTTCTTCTAGGCTATCCTTACATATGTATATAATGAGTGTATAGACAAGTGTGCGTTCTTCTACATTGCGAGTGTAAATCTTGTAAATCAGGACCCTGTTCACTTGGGGTTTTGCTCCTCTTCCTTCCCCTCCTATTTATTCTTTTCAGACTCCCACTTGGGGCATCTTAGTACTATTTTTTTTTAAACTTAGGAAACTGTGGAAAACTTAGCTGAGTCAATCAATAGTTGTATGTTTAAGAGTTTGTCTTTGCCTCACAGCTGTGGGGGTCTTGTTACCCACATCTCCAGTACATGCTGCTCTGCTGTCTTGGGATGCATCTGAACAACACCCCTGATACTGTCACCAGGTGGCTGGTTATGCTCATTTTTGTTCTCTGGAAGCTATAGTGAGCCTGATGCTTTCATATTTTAAAAAAGAAAGAAAAGAAAATGCCTCCTTGAATCTCCCTTAAGCTTCTCTAGCATCTTCAGTCAGCCAGATGCAGCTCCTCAGAAGCCTGACTCTTTTTTGCTTTCAGTTGAGGCCTGCTCCAGTCTCTCTGCTCCTGCTGTTTGCCTGATGGGAAAACCTTGCAGATAGACAGTAGCTCATAGCCTGGCTGCATGCTACGGTGTGTACAAGAAGTTGGATTTCTTTGCCCCCACAGGTGATCAGAGATTTACTTTACAACAAACATCAGTAATCTGGTTTTTTTTATACTGTTGGTCAAAAATATTTATAGGAAGGCAGTAGGTGAGCTTAGTACATGAGAGGAGACCTTAGAGACCAGTTGTCATCCCAGGGATGACAGCAGTCCTGCTGTGGAGGCTACCACAAGCACAAGGCAGGTGCAGTGTTGGGGGCTCATTTCTGGCTGGATAAGCTGTAAGCAGAGATGCTGAGCTCTGGAGAATCGGTATTGGTGCTGAAGGCCCGGCAGGGCAGTGGAGATGCTGCTGACCCTCACCCAGGGCACAGGAGTGGGGCTTATTCACAGGCCTTTGCACCCTCAAAAAAGTATCCTCTTAATTCTCAGGAAAGATTTCAATAAACATTCAGCTTGATAGACTTGATGACACATTGAAAATTGTCTACGTTTGGCTAAGTCTTTGGAAGTTAGTTGTCACAAATGAGGGTCTGTCACAGGTTGATTGCTCCAGCAGAAGTTCCCTCCTCACCCCAGCTCCCTTCCTCTGGTCCCTGAAATATAGTTGACCTGTGGCCTGAAGTAGCAGCCAACTATCTCTGGGGATGTGACAGGGCACAGTTAGGCCAGGAAACCTACAGCCAACAGTTAACTCTGATGTACACCCATTTAGTGCAGAGCAAGAGGCTCTGGAGTGGAGGCTGCTTTCTGCACTGAGGAGGCTTCTTCAGGGCTGAGTCAGCATGCCAGTCTCCTGGGGAGAGTCAGTGAGGCCTTTCTAGTCTGGCCTCTAACCCAGACCCACTCAGGCGTCTTGTAGGAGCTTGCTGCTGTCGCAGTGACTTTGGCACTGAAGAGGGTAAAGAGGCTTGAGCCATCCCTGGCTCTATTTTGTGGGACCCAGGAGTTTTTTTTTTTTTTTCTTTTTTAGCATAACACAGAACAGCCTCATCACTAAACAAGTCACCCTGTTCATAGTTTTTACTGAACTTGCAAACTACTCTTACTTCTTCTCAATAACCACTTTTATCATCAAGCACGAGGGGTGGAAGAGGCGCACCGTGTCTCTGCAATAAAACTTGTGCCAGGTTCTACCTCCTTGTGCAAAGGGTATTTTATATGTGGGCACTGGGCTTCCTTCTTGATCTGACATGGTGCATCTGGAGACATCTGAAGGAGTCCAAAGACCTTTTGAAACAAAGTCAGATGTAAACTCTTGGATGGCTTCTGCTTTCTTCCGTTCCCTTTTGTACTGCTGCGCTACATAGGACTGTCCATCTGAATGAAGAGTACACGCTGTTTCCACGATGCCACTTTGCTGCCTTCAGCCTCTCCTGGGAACCTGCTCACAAGTGTCCAGAATTCAGTGCTGCCGCCATTTTGATATGTAACTTTCAAATTCAGTCTCATGCAATACAAGTGTGTCAGCTTCACTGAGCAGGGTTCATCTGCCCTCAAGTAGAAATGCTTGATCCTCACATGGAAAGTACTCTGTATTTAGGTTTTTGTTGTGGTTTTGTTTTTTCATTTTTGTTTGGATTTTGTTTTCTGTTTTTGTAAAATTCTTAAATAAAATTAAACAAATAAACTTTTGTTGTGGTGTTGTGGTCTGGATTTAGAACATTTGCTGTGCTATGTCATCAACCTGGCTCACCTTATGGTTCCTTGCCAAAGGTTGAAGTTGCTATGTTGGCACTCTGTTTAAAATGGGTTCTAGAGGGGGCTGGAGAGATGGCTCAGCGGTTAAAAGCACTGACTGCTCTGCCAGAGGTCCTGAGTTCAAATCCCAGCAACCACATGGTGGCTCACAACCATCCATAGTGAGATTGGATGCCCTCTTCTGGTGTGTCCAAAGACAGCTACAGTGTACTCATAATAAAATAAATAAATCTTTAAAAAAAAAAAAATGGGTTCTAGAGGGCTGGGCAGGAGTAGCCTGGTGATGAAATACTTGCTTACTTAGCGTGTGCGTGGGAAGCACCGTAGGATGGGTGGGTGCTTCTCACTGATTGTGTTTTGACCTCTGCACACGTCGTAAGC